GGGGGGGGGGGGTTATTTGCGGGGTTATGGGGAGTATTTTCGGGAGTTAATAGGTATTTGATATTTCGGTTTTTTTTTGGCGGTGTTTTTTGAAGGTTTCAATTTGAGGTTTTCATAGACTTAAGCTCAGACTTTCAAAGGCTTCAATTTGAGATTTGTAAAGTCTCAAGTTGGAAGATCTTAATTTGAAACTTTCAAAGTCGCAAGTTGCGACTTTTGAGGATTTTAATTTGAGACGTTCAACATCAGACTTTCATAGACTCAAGTTGCTCTGAAAGTCTCGATTTGAAATTTCGTCACTGGGCGGGAATAAATTTTTCTGGTGAATATGACTTTACAATCATATGACTTAGAAATGTTTTTTTCGCCCAAGTGACGAATGACATTTCAAAAATGGTCAAAAAGTCTCAATGAGGTCATAATTCTCAAAATACTCAAAATACTAATTCTCAAAGGCTTCAATTTGAGATTTGTAAAGTCTCAAGTTGGAAGGTCTTAATTTGAAACTTTCAAAGTCTCAAGTTGCGACTTTTGAGGATTTTAATTTGAGACGTTCAACATCAGACTTTCATAGACTCAAGTTGCTCTGAAAGTCTCGATTTGAAATTTCGTCACTGGGCGGAAATAAATTTTTCTGGTGAATATGAGTTTGGAATCATATGACTTAGAAGTGTTTTTTTCGCCCAAGTGACCAATGACATTTCAAAAATGGTCAAAAAGTCTCAATGAGGTCATAATTCTCAAAATACACTTATTTTTTGGCTGCACTAATTAGCACTTTTGTTGAAAATTTTTTTGCTCGGTCGCTGTTATCCCAATAATAACCCCTGTTTTCTTCAGTTCTGCAATTTTAACGATTACGATGCCTCAACAGCAAGAACTGATTACCCCTATATCGGATTAATTCTATAAATCTCGGGAATGTAATAATTCTAAAAATACTCGCCGCCTGTAGGCTTTTTGTACATTTCCTGAAACCGGAACGTTTAAAAATAAATTTGTCCCATGTTAAATATAGCCTTTTCACTGACCTGCACAAGAAGTCTCGTTCACCGAGGCACAGCTCAAGACAGTGTTGACGTGACGAGGCTGTCATACTTCTTTTGGTGTGACCCTGAAGACGGTGGCCTTGTACCCTGTCGATGCACCATGCTCTCTCGCACGGTTTAACAGCGAGACAACTCTTCTGCGCGTAGATCGTGAATACGGGGAACTGAGATTGCGTCAGTGCACCTGGAAATATTATCCAAATTATCATAAATACTCAATTTATCTCTATAAATCGAAATAAAATCGCGATTGCATTCTTGACGACACAATAAACTGAATTGAATTTCAGTTATCTTGGGAATTAACGATTTTACGAAAAAATGGCAAAAGACTTTTTTTGCGGATTTTGAATTTTTCGAAAAAAATGATCTGATGATTATTTTCGATGGGAATAATTAATTCTAATCTCTGTTATGGATTTTCAAATTCTTAAAATTTTTTTTCCGGTGAGATTTTTCTGTGGTTTTCAAATTTTTGGCTTCTGGTAATTCCATCGATTAAATAATTCAAAATAATTGACTTACAAAATAATTCGTAAGGGTCAGACGTTAAGTCTGAGAATATAAGGGTCAAAAAGTGGAGATTAAAAAATGAGGGTCTAAGTGTGAAGGTGAAGGAATGAGAGTCAGAATATTAGGGTTAAAAAAAAGAGGGTCAGAATATTAGGATAAATAAATTAGGGTCAGAATATAAAAGGAAAAAAAGTGGGTGTCAGGCAATGAGGGTCATATAAGGGCTAAAAGCGGGGATCAAGCATAATGTATGACTTATGTTTAGACCCTCATTGCCTGACACCCACTTTTTTTACTTTTATATTCTGACCCTCATTTTTTAACCTCCACTTTTAGACCCCTATATTACACTTAAGAGGGCTTGCTACAGCCCGGCCTGACACAAAACCATCATCTCCGAATTGAAATACCCATCCCCCAATTGAGTATAAAATATACGCTCACAAAAAAAAAATTGTTGAAGAACAGCCTCACCCAAGCAATTACTCCGATATCAACTCAATCATCCGAAAAAAAACATCAGACCTTTTTCCCAACACAAAACTTTCTCAATAAAAAATGCCCTTGAAATTCTTCAACAGGTCCGCCTATGACCAAGACAACCCAGCAATCAATCCCAAGCCGCCCATCATCGCCTGCGATGGATCAAATTTTGTCTTCCATTAAATTCATCTATTAAATAATAAATTTTTCTTTTTCAATTTTGTTACTAAAATTTTGACGTTTTCAATCATCAAATTTTTCAATAATCATTAAACTACTTTGCGTCCGTTTCCTTATCAAATACGTGTTCTTGGGGGGCACAAACCCAAGTAAAAAAAAATTTCAAAAACCTGCAATTTCCCTATTCCTCCGCCATTGCCTCAATCACACGGAGAGAAATGTTCCGCAAAAATTACGAAACTCACAATTCGCTCACCGATTACGGAATCGTCTCAGAAAATTAATCGCCGGTGTCGTAATTTTTCGCAGAAGTTTCAGACAAAAATTACGGAACGCTCTGGAAAAATTCCGTGACAGTTCCGTAAAATTTCCTTCAACCGCATATCGCTCCGGAATTACGGAAAAGACACCTAATTTTTATTGAATATTTCTCTCCGTGCAATCAAAAAGAAAACACCGGAAAGGCTTTTTCTCCAGAATCCTCGCCACAAAAAATGCCCTCGAAATTCCTCAACAGGTCCGCCCATGACCAAGAGAACCCAGCGCCGAACTCACGTTCCCATCACTCTCTCCCCCCTCGATCCCGCTGCCAGTCCCCGGCCCACCTTCATATCACCACCTGCATTATCCCCGCACCGTAAAATCAATCGTCCATAATCCCCCCCTCCCGACACCCAACGAATTGTCCAGTTGCCCATAAGACAGGTCTGGAGAACGAATCGATGAGACTCCCAATCGCTCCATTACCCCGGCAATGATAAAAACCCGAAGGCGCCTGAGACTCTCCACCCGCCGGATATATACGTACTCCCTCTCCCGATGTAGAACCTCAACCTATTCGTTCCATCCAACGTGGATCGATTGGAGCTGCCAGCCTTAGCATCTTGCAAGTCTAATACCAACCTCGAGTGATTAATCTCCCCCCATTCCACCCCGTGCCCTCACTTATATTTCACTTTTTTTTCCCGCGAGTCCTCCCCCCGTCCGGCCGTAATCCCTTTATTCGATTCTCTCTTAATTCGATTCCCTTTAAATCCCCTCCGATGAGTCGATAAAACGCTAGTAGGTGGTAACGCATCATAGAGATGTATGGGGCATCCCGGTGGCAATTGTATTGACGCGAGGAATTTTCAGCAACTCATGGGAGTGCAGAGGGAGGAGAAACCCGCCCACATTTACGGAAGCAGTGAGCCACGTCATCGTGACTCGGTACGGTAGTCTCAGTGGTCTCCTTCATCTCGCTTCCATTATTATCTGTTGTCACAATCTCCAAACGAAAGATGACTGAAGACGATATTTTCTTCTTCAAAATTGATGCATTTTTGATCAGTTATTGCAAAATATCCAGAACACTTTTCGGAAAACTTTATACCCCATTGACGAGTCAATGTGCTTCGGCTTTGAAAAATATTAACAACTTATAGAAGAAAATTTGTTCGTTAATTTCTAGTAAGCAGTGGTCTTCTGTTGAACCTTCTGTTGGAATTTTTTTCCCCTGCGAATATGTGCAAACATTAAAACTTCCTCATTTTCTCCGAAGGTTACGCCTTGTTCCGGCTCGTATCAGTGGACTATTAGCGCTATGGCTCTATGCAAATACCCCTCCGTGTTTTTTCCCGGCTGATGGTCGAGCAAAGAAAAGAGAGTAGAGGCAAAGGGAAGAAGTTGCGGAGTAAGAGAAGGCTATCGATTACTAAAAGTTTTCATATGTAATACCACAAGAGCCTCAAAATTATCGGGTATTTCCCGATATGTTCGTTGTAAGCAAACGAAGGAGTTAAGTTTTTTAGGTTAACCTATTGAACAACTCCACTCTTCTCCATTTTGTGGTAATGTGCGTGCGCAGCCGGGCCTTTCTTGTGGCGCCCTAGTGCATTGAGGGTCTCCCTACTCTCCTCACGCCGATACACTGACAGAAAAACGAACGAGTTCTCAAACAGGTCTTGCTTGGGCCAGCAAAATCGTTAGTTGAAAATTACCAAAAAAATTATTGGTTCGAATTTTTAGGTCTCAAACATGAATAATTGCTCTGCCCTCAACAACAACGACGTATCTTCATATTGCGAATTAGTTTTTTGAAATTCGACTCCTTCCCAGCTACTTTCGTTTTGTTTAAATTCATACAAAAATTTTCACCAGTGCAAGAAATTAATTTTCCGATATTACGACGATATTTTCTCTCGCCGTGCGTATCACTGGACTATTAGCGCAATGGCTCTATGCAAATACCCCTCGGTGTTTTTTCACCACTGGCTGATGGTCGAGCGAAGAAACCAGAGTAGATGGAAAGGGAAGAAGTTAAAGCGAAACTGCCGCGCGACTCGAACGAGATCCCCCCATAAATTTTCGCTGGGTTAGAAACCGAGTGATATCAAGGCGGGTGTTCGTATGCGCAAGCGACACGTAAGCAGGCAAGACCCCTTGGGCGACTTTACTATTCCCTCCCCCCTCCCACCCCGTCGCCCCCTGTCCCCCCGCGTTTTTCGTCCTTTTAACTCGAGGTTTTGCTCTCTCGCGATCGATTACCCCGCGGTACCAATTCTCCAACTCGAGCTGGTCTCTTTTTAACATTTGTATGGTGAGTTTGCAGATGTATATGTGTTGGTGGATACTCGGTGCGCGCCTTTGGTACGAGAGTGTCCGCGCGAATAGTCGAGAGCGTGTCGTATTTAGTATTCCAATGTCGTGCTACGTCCACGGTTACTTCCCACGGCTATTTAGAATCCGCGAAGCGGTTCTTTGGCCGTTTCTATCAATTTCCCCCTTCTCCCGGTGTTGCCTATTCAGATACGCTCATCGAAAATCCAACTAGACACGCAACCCCCCGTGTACATCGGGATGATCGGGAGATATTCGATTCAGTCATTTTTATATTTTCCTAGAGTTTCAGGGGTTTTCTCTGGAGTTTGTTTTTTAATATTCGAAAAATGCAGCCAATTGCATGAAACTTTTTTCATTATTTGAGAGGTTATGGCGAGGGGCTATTCACAGGCGTAATCGTGGTCTCGCTGATGTAATCAATTGTAATCCCACCCGAGTGGAAATTCTGTTCAGGTCTCGATCAGAAACTGATCAAGTCCGATCCGAAATTCTGATCAGGCATGTTACGCCTCTGCCTTAGGTTTTTCCACTAGGGCAGTGATATCAATGTAGTCATTGTAATTACATGATTACCATATTTGTAATCAAGTTTTGGTAATCAAGTGGTAATCATTTGTAATCACTGTAAGCAGTTGTAATCAGTGTAATCTCTGGCGGTTGCTCCTAGTGAGACCGTGAATTTTGTTTTTGAATTTTCGAGCGCGTCAGCTCTAGCAACGGGAAGTCTCAGAGATCCCTGGATCAATTTTTCTTGGAATCCCAAATGTTTATGGTTCAGAAGCTTGCACAGCCAATGCGTTTTGCACAGAGCATTTGTCCGTAGAAAATTGATTCAACAGAGTTAAAATTTCTTCTTATTCTGGAGAACCAACGACTGAATTATCTCTGAATTATCTGCTGGTAAATTTCATTTTCCATCAATGGTAGATATTCAGTAAATTTATTTTGCTGATGGCACTTATAAATGCCCAAATTTTTAGATGGGATGATGGAGACTGCATTACTCTGTTCTAATCCCCGCCCCTCCTTCCTCATTTCTTTGCAGGTTCTCATAATTAATTACTCCATCAATTCATATTTAGTGAGAGGCCTTTTTTGTGATTTCAATGATTACAGATGTTTGGTAATCACAGAATGTAATCGACGAAATCATTTGTAATCATATAATCACATTCTGTGCTCTTGTAATCCTGGGTAATCAATTACATTTTGTGAGCAGTAATGGAGTGGAATTAGTAATGGAATCTATTCTTCATTTCGTGTAATTGAAGGATTCTCATTGAAGGAAATACGTCAGTTTCCTAATTTATCCGAAAGGAATTAATTCAATTTTTGTTGAAATGAATGAAGGGATGTTTTTAGACGCTAAAAAAGCTTCATTTCCCTGGTGGCAACGATCGCGAAATGCTCGATTCAATAATTCCCCCCTCTCTCACTCTGTTTATTCTCCCCATTTTTTCTTCATCCAGTTTTTTTTTTCAAACAGAAAAGAAAATCGTACGGTAAATTTTCGTTGACAAAAACTGCCGAGTCAGCCGAGTTATTTCAGGCGGATAGGTCCTCTCCCGGTGACGTGATATCGGGGACAATGAGGCCATGAAAAATAGCCAACCTCGCACGTATATCCACCCCATCCCGGAGTTGTTCAACTACAAAACCCTCCCCCCTCCTCCCACTCCTTGAATTCATGGAATATAAAGGCACGAATGACCATTGTGCCATTTTCTCGTAATTTCATTTATATCGATTTTCCCATTTTTCCGTATTTCATGGAAAAAAAAATTGTTCTCGTGTTTTCAAGTTGTTGAGTATGAAATAAAAGAGAAAAAAAGTGAGAGGGAGATTGGTATCGTTGAGAATAACGGGTCAAATGTTTCGTGATCGTCTCGTGTGAGTCGTCCATCACGATCCCCTGCTCGACGACACGTTTCGCATTCCTCACTCGGGCCCCAATGAATACCTTTACACCTTTGTAATGCCAATGAAATATTACTGCCTCATTCATGCTCTGTTTTAATTACATTTTTCTGGGTCTCTTGTGGATTCGGTGAATTAATTTCACGGGCTTTGTTCGGTGTATTTTTTTTTTTTGGGAAACTATTGAATGGAAAATAGGGCGATTCTGATTTTCTAACGGGATGGGTCATAAGATTCAGGAATGGTCGTTTGATTTCGACCGTGGGATTTTTTCATTTGGATTCTGGGAAACCTGTTCTGTTGCGGAGATAAAGAAACGTTCTTCAATTGATGATGGATTGAGAATTTGTACTTGTTTGAGGGAGATTCTTTTCTCGGAGGAGTTGGTGAAATAGTGGGCTTTTCGTTGAAGCAGTAAACGGTTTGGGAAAATGAAATTTTAATGGGAATGTCAGGAGGAACATTATTTCGGGAGAATGTTCAACGATCAGTCTCAATTGTACTGGAAACAAGTGGCAGATGGCTCCTGTGTTGAATATGGTATAGTTATTTTTGGTAATAAATTAGCAATGTGTATAATTGTTTTAGATTTTCCACTTGATGAAATTCTAAAAATTTCTGAAAAATTCTATGAAATATTATTAGGAATATTTAATTTATACATAATTGAATGCATTCGAAACATCACATTTGAAGAAACCATGAGAAAGCTAATTTTCCGGGGAATTCATGAAAAATTCGAAATTTCTAAAAATTATCCTAAAAATCAAATTGATCGAGACAGTTATTGTTACCATCTTCTAACTTCGATATAGTCGCATAGAAACAAACATATTAAGCTATGATTTAATTCATTTCAAGCGCAATATCCAGAGATATCTGCGGAATTCTGATTTTCGAAAAATACGAAATTTTTGAAAAATTTCACAGAAATCAAAATAACGATTATTGCTATCGCTTTCATCTTCGAACTCGGTCTAAAGCACATTTCAACGAATTTTTTAAGCCGTCTTTCAATGAATTTAGAACATTTTTTTCAGTTATCGTGTTACAACTGAATTTTGCAATAGTAGAAAGACAAAAATTTAATCAATTAATCAAATCATCTTTATAATTCCAATTATATCAATAAATAACTCAAGGTCAGTTGTTCCTCAAAGCCATTCCATTCTTCTCCCCCCATATCTGTCTGAAAAATGAATGATTTCAGGAGAAGCTTCCGACGGAATTTCTCAAGTTATTCATCAAGAAAAATGAAAAATTTTTGATCGAAAGTTGTGTTGACCATTTCCTTACGCAACTAGCCATCAAACGCGAATAACTTTTCCCTCGCCTAATGCTCGCCTAATGCCTTCCCGTCGTCACGAAATAAACCTCGAATAAATAACCGATAATATTCAATGTTCATCGTGCAAGCAAGTCGTTAGTTTTATGCAAGTCGGCTGGATCACCGATGAAAAGAATAGAAAAAGAAGGGAAAAAAAAATATTACACTGTTGGGGTCAGTGCTCAGGTGACGATCGCAACGCGGCTATAACGGGCCACCGCCGTTTGCCGGCAAAACGTATCGTGATCGTGAGTCCTCTTGGCTGTCATTCGTAGGTGCTCAGTGGCACGAAAGGCACACGCCGGTGTATTACCAAGTCATTTAAACGGTATATCCACGTATTTTGAATTTTATTACCTCCGAAATTATTGAAATTTATTTTCTATTAATATTCTTGGAGAGTTGAGTGTGTCATGTTCGCTAATTGGGTGATTATCGAGGTAACGAGGCCTTCTAAAAAATGAGGATCGGAATATTAGAGTCAAAAACTGAGGGCCTGAATGTAAAGGTGAAGGAATGAGGGTCAGAATGTCAGGGTTAAGGAAGAGGGTCAGAATATTAGGATCAAAAAATTACGGGACGACTTGTTGTCCCCACAGCGGTGGGTCATCAGACGGCTGGTTAATTTTTACGGAAAACAAATCGTAGAATTTACGTGACGATTCGTACAATTTCAGTTCCGACTCACACTTTTTATTTTACCTCGCTCGCGGATTACGTTTCGAAACGTAATTTTCACGTTTTTTCGGGTAATTTTTATGAATTTTTCTCTCTGCGCGGAAAGCGATCCCTGGGGAGTATCACTCAATCCAGTGGTAATCGCCCGACTTGTCAGACACCACTTAACGCGACACCCGTCGAAAATTAAATAACAAGTGTAACATTCACTGATCGATGGATTCACATTAAGTTGTAATAACCATGTAACGTCTTACCTGGATTATTGTCGGCATTGGAGCTGAATAGTACGCAGAGACCAGTCTCATAATTGACCGCTTGACATGAGTCATTAGCCTGACAGAACTCGAGGCACTCGGTGAGCATCAGCGTACCGGCTCTAGTCTCAATCATGTTGGTGGGCGCGGTGTAAACGTATCCGGTGACTAGTTCAAAGCCAACCATCTCGGGATCACACTCATCCGAGCCAGCTGATGGGCCAGTGTAGTCGGGTCCGGATGCCCCCGAGGGCTCCGAAACCACTGGTGTCGTTTGCACATTGCTCGCTTGAGACGTGTCAATCCCAAGGACAACCAGGCCACTCCATGCGTGAAGTAAGAGGATTGTGAGTACACGACAGCGAGAGTAACTCATCCTTTCGGCGATTTATTTCTAACTATCTGAAACCGTCAGAGGAGATGGGATATTTAGAGGTGACATCAGTTTAGGTCGGGGGAAAATGAAAAAACAGGGAAAAAATTGACAATAGGAATTTTTTTTTCATTGGGATATTTTCAGAAAAATTGCATTTTGTGAAAATTTGAGAAAAAAAAATTTGGAGTAAACAATGGTCCAGAGCTTCAAAAGTTGAAAATTTTTCTTTTGAAAAAATTGAATGATTTTCAAAAATCACTTTTTCATTGTTTTCTAAAAGTGTCAAGTTCAACAACAGGTTTTTTCGAAAAGCTAAAACGTTTTGAAGAAGTTTTCGACTTTTCCAATAATTTGCAAAATAAATAAATATGTTGAAATTCCCAATAATTTCTAAATTTGAAACAACCTGAAATTTTTCGACATTCTGTAAACATTTACAAATTTTGTCAATTTTCAAAAACTCTAAGACCGTTTTAAAATCCCAAAAATTTTAAAAACACTTCTCTAAAATTCAAAAAATTGAGAGCTTTATCAATAAGATGCATGTCTCGCATCTCACGCCCCGAGATCCAAAAAATTCTCGAAGAAAAACACAGTTCGAGCCTTCAGTCGGGTTCTCCCACAATAAAATCACTGAACCCCCCTCCCCATAAAACTCCATATTCGCTCTAAAAATATTCCCAACGGCCAAAAAACCTGACATTCCGCCGGAAGCGGCCAAAAATGCTCCCCGCACCCTCATAAAATTCTCCACCTCTAATTGCCCGAAAAAACACGACAAGTTGTATCAACATCAGCTAATTCCGGAGCCCGTCAAAGGCTCAAAGAATTCCTCCCCTTTTTGTCTTATCGAAAAATTTTCCGTTTACTTTTTCTCGCACTCTCTCTCTCTCTCTCTCTCCCTCATCGAGTCATACATACACATTCGTCTGGAACGTGCAAATATTTAGTCGAGGGAAGAGAAAACACTGCACTTGCTCTGTCGATGTGTATGGAGAACGTACACTTTTCGTTTGCCCAGAGTGGATGCAACGGCGCCGCGAGATTAAACGCGCTCCCTCCCCCCGTCCCGCCTCTTTCCCTTTTTCTTACGGTGTAGGTAGGGTTGAAGGTGTACGGAACAGAGAAGGTACGATCCCTAGGCCCCGGCACCATCCGGAGTTGTATACACATCGTTATCTCCTCTGACGCTTTACAGCAGAATGAGAGGGATAGAGACGTATAAAAGACGTACATGAAGGCGGATATGCGGGACCCACTCTTTTCATGTAAACACCTTCATTTTTATTTACTCAACTTACTAAATATATTTTCCCTTTGTGAATGAAAAATCTTTATAACTTTGTGATAACGGAAGGAACATAAATGGACATAAAAGAGTGAAAATTCGCAGACTATTTTTGACAGGTTATAAAATTGACTGAAATTTCTGGCAGGAGAGGGTGGGGTAGACACTTTTGATTATTTTGGAAATATTCATAACTGAGGAACAAATTTGCCGATTGAAGTCAGTCGAGCTCGTCACAAATTGGGTGAACTGCACGCGGAGGGAAATTTTTAAGAAAAATTCTAGTGCTGTTAAGGTGACGGCAATTCATTTTATATTATGAATTTTCATGGGTGATGGGTATTTCAATTCGAAGATAATTTTTTTGTATCAGGCCGGATTTCAGTAAGCCCTGAACAATTGCCCTTGAACAACTAGTTGAATTCTGGAGTATTGCAATAGAATTACAAGTTTCAGGTCCACATGATACTGAAAATTATAAAATAATTTGAAAAGTCAAGCCAAAATTTCCCTGAATTTTCAATCCACTGAAAATTCAGTTGGATGTGATTTTTAATTTCCGCAATGAGTTTGAAAATTCTAGATGTCACTGAAATTTCAGTGATAATTTAACCTGGAAAACCCAAAACCCTGAATTTTCAACCTGAATAAGAGATTCCATGAACGATTTGATCTTAAATTGGATTTAAATTCACAACATTGAGAATTCAAGTGCAACTATTGCTTAATTTTCATAAAAATTCCAACAGTGTATGACCTTCATTACCTGACGTCCACTTTTTTTACTTTTATATTCTGACCCTCATTCCTTCACTTTTACATTCAGGTCCTCAGTTTTTGACTCTAATATTCCGACCCTCATTTTTTAACCTCCATTTTGTGACCCTTATATTCTCACACTTAGTGTCTGACTCTTATATTACACTTGAGAGCGCTTGGTACTACCCGGGCTGATACGAAATAATCATTCTCGGATTGAAACACCCATCCCCCATTCGAGTATATTTTATTTCCTGTACATTTCCTGTACATCTGAATCTACTTGATTCTCAGACTACTGAATTTTTTATTTGTCCCCATGAATCATAAACGAATGATTCGATCTTGAACCCAAGTGAGTTCAAACTCGCAACCTTGAAAATTAGAATGTCACTGTCTATACAAATTTTAATAAATTTCTATCTCCAGAGAATATCTTTATTAAAGAGAACTATTCTCCTCGAGCTCTGCACTTCAAAGAAGTTCCTCATCAGAATGGGTCTATCTCCTTTAAGTTTCGAGATATTTATCAGCAACTCACCGGTTCGGAAGTGTTATTGAACTGTCCCATCCCACCGCCTTGCCAACATTTTCCTCATAATGAATTTAACGTTTCGCTACCTCAAAAAATATTATTGAGAAGTTAAAATTCAGATAAATATTCTGTCACAAAGTTAATACTGAAATTTGAAGAAATGAATTGAGATTTTTTACGAGTCATTGGCGTGAAATGTCTCCTGATTTTCTGAATATTTCATAAATTTCGACAAAGGCAACGAAATAAGACAATGAAAATGATAAAAAACTGTGAAAATTCAGGTGAACACCGGAAAATCACATGCAGTTTTGACGGAAAGCTTTCAACAAATAGTAAAAAAAACTTCTCATGGAAAATCGCGAAAAAGTGCATTCAAATTAGCTTCAAAAATATTTCAAAATCTAAAACATATTACGGAATTTCTATAACAATCTTTATTTATCTCTTTGAATCATAAACTTTATGAGTGATTTGATCTTGAACCCAAGTGACTTCAAAGACGCAGCCTTGAAAAACAGCATGTCACTGTCCATAAAATTTTTAATAAATCTCTATCTCCAGAGAATATTTATTAAAGAGAACAATTTTCCTCGAGTTCTGCAGTTCAAAGAAGTTCCTCTTCGGAATGGGTATATCTCCTTTAGGTTTGGAGATATTTATCAGCAACTCACCGGTTCGCAAGTGTTATTGAACTATCCCATGCTACCGCCTTGAAAACATTTTTTCCCAGTAATGAACTCAATATTCCTCTACCACAAAACATATTATTCAGAAGAAAAAAATAAATAAAGCCTCAAAATTCTGATAAATATATTGTTAGAAAATTATTTTCAGGCCATTAAACTTCATTCAGGGAAAAGAAAAATCTTGAAATTTTAAATTTTTCAGCCGGCGGAAGACTAGAAATTCGTAACATTTTTTAATTTTTAAACAAAACATGAAAAACATGAATTAATTGAAAATTCAAGAACTTATCCACCTGAATTTTCCTGATCTTGATTACTTTCTTCAAATAATTGAATGAAAATTTCTAGATTCCATGGATATTTCCGCCAAATTATGAATTTTTAATATCGAAATTCCTAAAAATTCCAGGTGAACACTTGACAAAAATGAAGTTTTTGATTAAAATTTCCTAAATTTTTTAACACAAAAGTTCTGCCGTCCAATCCTATCGCTTTAATAACACCCCTGTTCCCCGCCATAATCCGAAAACCCCCAATCACGATCGACTTCTGCATTCACCCAACCGTTTCCTCACCTCAAAGAGAAATAAACTGAATTTCCATGAACAGTTACTCCTAGTATAATACTCCTACTATTTTCAGGAGATGAACATTGAAATTCAATTTAGAGGCAGAAAATTCAGAAGTTTCAAGCAAATCATGAATATTCCCTGCCAAATTACCCTGAATTTTCAATTAATAAAAAATTGCAGACCTCATTCATCTGAATTTTCCCAATTCCAATAAATTTCAATGTCGGAATTTCCGGAGATTCCAGTAAAACCCTCGGGAAAAATGAAGTTTTTGCTTAAAATGTCCTAAAAAATTCACCACAAAAGTTCAGCCACCCAATCCCATCGCTCCACTACCACCCTCGCTCCCCGTCATAATCCGAAAAATCCGGACTGACGATCGCCCTCTGCCTCCCCCAAAACCATTCATAAATAATCTCGCAACTTACATTGGAAAAACCCCGCAAACTCACTCCACAATGTCTGAAAAACTCACTCGAGAAAAAAATCACCAGAACTTCACCCTCGAACGGCCCCGATCTATCGCGCACGCGTACTCCGTGTAAGTCCGTCACACTGTTAGCCAGGAATCCACTGAGACCGCCAGAAGTCCACGAAGACGCTAACGAAAAACGGAAAAAAAAATACAAAAAATGAGGAGAACCTCGAAGCGTATCGCCTCCTCGGCAGACTCGAACTTTAAAACTCGACTCGACTCGCTAACGATTGAGTTGCACCTGGCCCCGGCGTATCTGAGGTGCTTCTTCCTCGTGCGACCGACCAACCGCGTCTGAGGTATCTTGCGGAGAAGCCGGCCGATCGGTCTAAGGAGGACAGAAACGGTACGCACGGGGCACCATAGCCTGTACACAAACCCATTGAAAACGTCGCTTTTCGATCGGTCGCGCACACGTCTTTCGATCTTCCTCTTTTCCCCTCTCTTAATTTTCTGAAGAGTCCCCCCCCCCCCCCCCCCNTTTCTGAAGAGTCCCCCCCCCCGCCCGCCCGCAAGCCACGCAATTCCCCCTCCACGGGACTGTTTCTATTCCCCTCCACCTTCGGCTTCCCACAGGTCCGTAGATAGGACGAATCCTAGCAACCTTGCCAGTACAAACTTATATATTGTTGCAAGAAAAAAAAATACTTCTCACAAGTACAAAGCGGTACTTGGGGGAAGT